CCCCCAGTCAATTGCAACTTCGCTGCATGGTGCAAGAGACGAACCCATGTTTGGGCTAGCGCGTCCCTGCCTGCCTGGTTTCCCAGGTGTTCACCCCATACCATCAAAGCTCGGACCGCCCTACGACCGGGGCACGGCTTGCAGCTGCTTGGAGATGGATGCGCCGTGTTGGTTGCAACGGCATCATCGACGAGTACGAAGCGTTTGGGTACTTACGATAAGCTGCGTCCGCCTTTCTCTACAAGCTCAATTGACGACAACCGTGCTCTCGGCCCTCTCCTGCGAGTCGTCCATATCCAGCAGCAATGCCTACTCCCGAATCGGCGGCCTTCCTGGCCAAGAAGCCCACCGTCCCGCCCACGTTCGACGGCGTCGACTACAATGATACGAAGCGCCTGAAGCAGGCCCAGGATGCCATCATCCGCGAGCAATGGGTCCGAGTTATGATGGGTCGTCTGGTGCGGGAGGAGCTGTCCAAGTGCTACTACAGGGAGGGCGTGAACCATCTGGAGAAGTGCGGACATCTGAGAGGTGGGTTACAGAGTGCTTCGCATCCTCCATTCTCAAAGAACCATTCAGCCGCGAAGGCCTCTTTCTGACTTTGTTATTCTGGCTCAGAACGGTACCTCCAGCTTCTCTCCGAAAACCGTGTTCAGGGTTATCTCTTCGAGCAGCAGAACCATTTCGCGAACCTGCCAAAGCAATGATTTCCCCCCCACCACCACCAGTATTCTGAGAACGGGAAGCGGAGCGGAGGGTACAAACTGGAGTCTGATTTTGGGGCTGGAATGATAATGGGCAGCGAGAGGAGAGAGTTTGCAGGGCAGTGCGCTCGAGAAAGAAGTCGGAGAGCGAGCGAGTCAGTCATGGTGCCGAACCGAGAAGGGGGCCCCATAACATCGCGGACCACCCTTTCAGACATCCGGCCTCAGCAACCCAACCCCCAGATCAGTCAGTGCTCGGGCCCTCTTATGAGACTACGAGCTGCAGGGCGTGTAAATATTCACACTACAACAGAAACTCGGCAACAACAGAACAGGCACGGGAGGACTAGAGGAATAACAGAACTCAATTTGTCCTCCATGTTTTTTTTTAGAGACATATATGTTGTCTGAACAGCTTCGCAGGTCTGGACCATACATAAAGTGCTTGTGACAGCTGTGGCCTGAACCCCGGCCTGCTGCAGCGCGGTTCCTGTCCCAATATCAAAACTGCCCAAGTGGTGTTTTTCACCCGCCGTAGAAATTTTTAGCTTCCGTCCCACCCCTCCAATTCGTTGCGCGCATCCCGCCCGTGTCCGTCCTCCCCCAGGCCGAGCGAAAGCCCACTCCGGCCGGCGCCCTTCCCTTTTTACAATCCCGCATCCGTGAAAGTGAGCGAGTCGTCCGTCCGCCCCCCGCCCACCCACCCGATCCCGTCTTTTGGTGTTTGTTTTCCCCGCCGCCGAACACCACCGACAATTTCCGAACATACACATACTCCGAATCTCCCCCGGACAACAAAAAAAAAGTCGCCAACATGATCTGCCGAACGTGTTTGCGCCGGGCCTCCGGCTTCGCCAGCCCTGCCATGGCCGTCACCAGACCCATGATTGGCGCCTCTTCGCGCGCCGCCTTCAGCACTTCTTTCAGCGTGCGAACTCCTCCTCCCGCCGCACCAGCAGCAGCAGCAACTTTCACACCAGCAACCACCGAGGCCGGCCTCGAACCAGTACCAGGAGCGCCTGCGGCAGAGGAACCCAAGCTATCGATCTCGTCTTGCCCGGCGGGCACCAAGCTTAACGGACTCAACTACTTCAAGAACAAGAGCGACCCCGTGGCGCTGGCAGATGAGGAGTACCCGGAGTGGCTGTGGAGGTGCTTGGAGGTGCAGAAGAAGACGGATGATGCGGCTGGAGAGGATCTTGGCGATGAGTTTTGTATGTCTGCCTACATCTCTTCCTTTTCCTCTTTCTTCACTTTCCCTTCCTATTGCCCTTTCTACCGTTGAACTTCCTCCCCTTCTTCCTTCCCCATCTTCTCCCCCTTGCGCATCTCTCTTCAACAACCAGACCCAAATCAACCTCAAGCTAACCTCTCCCTCTCCCCCACCCAACAGCCAAATCCAAGAAACAGCGTCGCCTAGCCATGAAGCGCGCGCGCGCCCTCGAAGCCAGGCTCATGGCCTCGGGCGACCTCGAGGCCCTGGTGCCCAAGATCCCGCTACAGAAGCAGTCGGTCAACCTCCCCGGAGCCGTCAACGGCGGCGTGCAGGACGCGGTGCTGGCGGACGAGAAGCGGGAGGAGCTGCGCAAGGCGATGCGCAAGGAGCGCAAGGCCAAGATTAAGGAGACTAACTACCTTAAGGCCATGTGAGGTGGTGGTGTGTAAGGGGGTTGTTAAGGGGGGGTTCTACTGGTGGTGTTGGTTTCAGAGGAGGACAAGGGCCGATGGAGAAGGAGGAGGAGGATCAGGAAGAGGGAACAGAAGGGAGAAGATGGAGGGAAAGGAAGTGGAAGAAAGAGAGGAGGAGGAGGGAAAGAAGGAGGGACAGCAAGAGCGGCTACAACGACAGCGACGGCAACGGCAGAAGCAGAGTTGGTGTGGTAGTGGGCTCTTGCGTGTACTAATATCCAACCATCATCAAAGAACGGATTTCTGGCATGACCACGGGCACGAAGACGGAGACGGACGTGGACATGGACATGGACATGGGGAAAATGGTGTCGAGTGTAAGAAAACTATATACGGCTTAACTCTAGGAGCTGTGGAGGGGTTTAGACGTCTGGGCTGGAGTGGACAGGCAGAGAGCCATCCTCTACCTGTGGTTCGAGTCAAAAAGTGATACTGTACAAATACAATGTGATAAGCGACAATCGGACGAGGAAGTTATACGAAAAGGGCAAAGTCAAAGTGCGAAGATTTGTGACTCCATTTCTCATTTGCTAGCTCCCCAAGCATCCGTAAATATATTGCCTAATAAATGCCATGTGTCTTCATGGTTGCCGTTCGCTGGGCATTCTAATAACTCGTTATGCTATTCACTGACTTGCCAATTCCTTTCTTGTTTGGCTAGTATGATGTGATATGATATAACCTTACGGTAATCCTTTGTAGTGAAATCCCAGGTCCGTAACAGCACAGCTTAGCCAGCTTTGTTACCCCCCTCAATCTTCCTCCGACACTTCGCCAATCGAAGACTGCTTCAGCTTGATCTCCGACTTGATGTTCTTTATGCTTAGCTCCAGACGTTTCTTCATGATAATGCTCGATGCCTTGGACAATTGCTCCTCATACGAGGCCAGTGCCTTCCTCAAGGTGGCAATCTCAGCCTTGACACCCGCCACCTCGTCATGGCGCTCTTCGTCGCCGTCATCGTCCATGTCGTCTTCATCATCCTCGTCATCTTCATCGGATTCGTCCTCCTCGCTGACTGCCTCGGCCGCACTCTCCTCGGTTTGTGCAGCGGTAGGCGTACCCGTGTTGGCCGTAGCAGGTGTGGGAAGATCCATGCCGCCCAATGCTGTAGGGGTGCCAGCGCCAAAGTCCATGGCGTCCATGGCTTCGGCGGGCGTATCTGCCGCGTTCTCGAATTCTGCCTCGAGATCGTCGAAGAGGTTGTCGTCGTCTTGGTGGTGTTGAGCGTCCCCAAAGTAATCTTGTTGGTCCTCGTCGCCTCTCATGCCACCGTCCTCGTCCCCGTACTCGTGGTCTGACTCGGGTGCAGCGGTATTTCCTTGCCCGCCCTCTGCCACAAGCTCGTACCTGGAGCTGAGGGCTTCTCTGTCTGCTGCCAGCAACCGCTCGACCTCTTGTTCCTTGTTCTGGATTTCCAGCTTGCTGAGTCGCTTCCTGAATCTCCGGTTCCGCGCATCGTGCATCGGTGGGGTGATACCGTGGGGCCACCTGTGGCCATGCTCGACGGCCTTGGGTAAAGGGACCGACTTGGCTTCTGCCTCGTCTTTGACCTTAGCATAGACGAGGATCATCTGGCAAATGTCGGCTGACTTGACCATGGCCTTTTTATCCCATGTCTTCATGCCTTCCGTGATTGTGGGTAGATCAACCAGAATGGCGGCGTACGGTTGCCCTCGAATGACAAACATTACTCGCCGTCCTTCATCGTCCAGAAACTTCATTGTAACATCGGCGCCGCCCATATTTTTAGGAACGCCCACTTTCCTCTCTGCTACGGCTTTCCGGAGATAGTCGCAGTCTTCGCCAGGCATCATACGGAGGATCAACTGCTCTTCTATCACAGGATCGACTTCCCTATCATCGGCCTCCGAATCGTAACCCTCACCCAGCGGTCGCGTTGGTATCCTGCCCTGCGGTTTTAAGCGAACCTTGGTAGCCGTCAGAAGCGGAGTTTGCATCGGTGTTGTGGCCGAGGGTGCCTTGATCGTGATCTTCTTGGGCCTTGGCGACCCCCCAATCCCGTTTGCTGTCGGACCATCCTCCGCCTCACTCTCTTCTCTTGGTCTCTTTCTTGCCGCCGCGTTCAAGAAGACTTTGTTTGCTGTCTTGGGCTTGCTCATGAAGATGTTGGGCGCAGCAGAGCTTCCTGTTGACACCCGTGGTAGTGTCGGCTGAGATGAAGTATTGGAAATCGACGGCGGTCTCGGACCAGCTGGTGTTGGTGGTTGTGAGGATGCGCCCTTGACGTTGAGCTTGATCTTGCGAGGGCCCTGCGAGCCCCCCGGTGTCTGAGGAGGTGGCGAGGCGGCAGAGAGGTTATGGCCAGGACCAGGTGTAGCTGCCGGTGATCCCGTCCTGACTGCTTGAGACGAGCCATTGGATTGAGTGTTGATCTTGAGCGTCAATGTCCGCTTGACTGGCCCTGGTGGGTCCATGTTTGCTGTTTGTCGTTGCGTGAGGCGCTCTGGTGTTCGGGTTCGGTGCTTTGCAGCGGCGTCTTTCTTGAGGTCGTGCGACGTTGGGAACGTTGATGGATAAAGCGAATGATCTTGAGATCACCGGGAGCAGATGCTCAGTCGCTAATGGCGGATTGTGGATAATCGGCGTCGAATTAAGCGGGAGGCACTGGCGCGAGGTTGGGTATTTAAGAATGGACGCCCGGTCGTCGTGACGGAACAATGATAGAGTGGTGGAGGTTCGGTGAGGGCGAATTGATGACGGACAGGCGCGCTGCCCTTTTGTTGCTGCCGGTCGATATGAACTGAGTGAGGTCCAAGATGCGTTCTTTGGCTCTCTTTGGTGGGTGCGAGGGGAAGGTTTCTTTGGTGGGTAGGGCTGGAGGAAGGTGAGGCGCGCTTCCAATGCAGCTATCAAAGCCGCTGATGCGACAAGCGCGTTCGTTCTGAAAGTGGAAATGATGCAACGAAGGTCAGCGAAATGTTAAAGTGGGTGGGCCCTTCGTCGCACGCGCGGTCCAAATCGGAGCTTGGCTATAAGACTCCACTGGCTCCTCAGCGGCAGGTGGGGTACAATAAGAAAGTGCTGTTGGGATGGAGGGTCAACTGTTCCAGAACTTCCTGTGTACTTCGATGTGGCCTGTGCTTTTCTGAACGATATCATTACTTTCGAATATTGGCCAGAGGAGAAGAAGGCTTTTATATGTTGAGAAGCTTTTATCCCTCCATAATCTGTCCTTTTCAACCTCTTGTCATTAACGACTACAGTAGGTGCAGCACAAGTTTGTGAGAATGTGGAGCTAACAGTCTCACTCACCAAGACCCCCAAATTCTCAGAAACTCTCTTTGATATTCTCTGCCTTTCATCGCATCTTTTCGTTCCTGTTGCCAACTATACTCTCATCAACCAATGTTCTCCTGGCACAGATTGGTTCATCTTTTGCTTGTGACTTCGTCATGGTTACCCAGTGAGTTTCACATCTGGCGAGCTTTAAAGAGACAGTGCCAAGAACCGTAACGATCTGATACCCGCCCCACTAGAGCTGCCTGCCGCAACTCCCTGCAACGAGACCCGATACGGAAAACCCACCTCGTCGCCGTTCAATTGAAGGAAACCAATTTCCATCCGTCACCAGCAACGCGTTGCTATCACCACGGTTCTGCCCAAGTTATTTTCCTGACATACCCAGGATATCAGCCTCTGGCTCTTACTGCCAACCAATCATCGAAAACCTTGACAACGAGAAACAAGGAAGTACACGAGACCAAGCGCGGATGGTAGATCTCGAGCGCGCCCATTCACCTACCTCTTCGATTGCCATCACCTCCAACCAGCCTGGGGGGCTCTTATGAAAATAAGAACATTCTACAAACGACGTATTCTTGAGCAAGGCGACGCTATCCTCAACATCGTAACCAAGACCGAGCGACTCTCGCCAACATGACACCCCCACCATACCTTTACCACGCCCTCCTCAGGCCCTCGATTCTCCAAATCCTCCGCGCAGCCGGCTACCACGGCGCCCGCACCTCAGTTCTCGACTCAGTAACAGACATGGCCGCCCGCTACCTGGACGCGCTCTGTCGGCTCACAGCCGCCTTCGCCGCACACAACAACGAAGAGTCCCAGACGGGCGAGCTGGTACCAACAATAGTCGACGTGCGCATGGCTCTCCAGCAGATCGGCGCTTTGTTGCCCGAGAAGTCGGAGCTGGAACAAATGTACAACGGCGTAGAGGACACCCGGGGTGTGGACGCGTTCGTCGCGTGGGCAGCGGGCCCGGTCAACAGGGAGATCAAGAGGATAGCGCTTGACGGTAGTGACGAGGCGACTGATTATCTCAATGGTGAGTTTATGTTTATTTTCCGTCTTGTATGCTACGAAAACCTTCTCAGATCAGCTAACAACCCACATTTTCCCCCCTCTAGCTCTCAAACTAAAACACAGCAAAAACGACGATGACTCCCGCTACACGGGCTCGCTCCTCGGCAAATGCATCGACCACGGCCACGTCGAAGTGGAAGGCGGCAAATACCACAGCATCTCGGTATGGGAGGAGAAGATGAAGGAAGCCGCGCGACGACCGACAACACCACCACCACCACCACCACCACCTCTTGAAAAGCCAGAGGCCGGCATCAATGGCGACAGGGAAGATTCACGCCCACCTAGTTCGGGGCTGAGTTCGATTGGGGACCAGAGCATAGGCGATATAATGGACTTGGAGTGAGGAGTGAACGAGTACATTGGGGTTCTGGGGTTTTGGGTTGGCTTGGGCTTGGCCTTTGCCTGAGCCAGATAATCTTAGGTTGCGCCTGACTTACGTTGACGGTCTCGACACTACGAGGCGGCAGCCAAACTCGCCGGTGGACTATTGACTTATCTTGCAGTAGGAGGCCAGCACTTGGGATCCTCACGCCGGGTCAGGGTGGAAAGAGAAAGAGTGGAAAAGGTCGAAGGTGAATTCAAGCATGTTGGGGTTTTTAGCGGTTTTAAAAAGAGCATAGCGATGGCGTTCTGGATACTTCAGACGAAAGCACACACATAAACAAAATATCCGGTGGAAGGAACGGGGAGGTGGTTTGCGTTGTTGTATTTTATCCTTGCTACAGGGGCAGTATCAGCTTTGTTGGCAAGGAAAAAGGCATGGACTTTTATACCCAAGATAGATGGATGGACGAATCGACAAATGGATGGATGATAGGACACCAGTTAGCAGGTTACACTTCGCTGGTGTTATGAATACATATATATGTGTGTGTATGTATATGACATGGAAGGACTTGTTAATAAAACATAATTAACCACCACTTCGGTTCCTGATATGCACCGTTGAGGATACAGCCGACTGAAGTGAATCATGCAGTATAAGTGAATAGACGCTTGTTGTTTGAGGTTTTGAAGCATTATGAAGCTCTTGTTAGCGAAGTGTTTCGTTGTTAAAAATTAACATACAAAGTAAGCACATTCATGAGCACCAATCCTCGGTCGGATAAATGAATCCCTTGACTCCCCAGGTCCATACGCGGCAAGACCAAAACACCTAAGCCATTTAACAGATGTTGACAAAAGAAACGATCTGATGTTTCTATGCACAGATCCGTGTGTGTAGTAGTAATAGTAGTTAGATAATTTACCAAAGTCCCAAAATCCCAAAATCCATGAGATAGATGCCCAAACCGGTGATAACAAAAGAAAACCCGGAGATATAATAACGGGGAAGAAAAACAAAGGCAAAAAATCAGGCAGCCCTAAGCCTCTGATCCACCGACCGCCCCCTCCCTCTCGTGGCAGGCGAATCCGGGCTTCGCTTGACCGCATCCCCATCAGCAATGAATAGGGTTTCTGCTACAGCGCCATCAAGGAGACCCCTTCCCTCGTCCTCGACATCATCGCCCTCCCCGTCTCTCTCACTGCTGCTGCTCCCACTGCCACTTCCACTCCTGCTTCCGCTACGACTGGTAGAAGCAGAGGACGAAGACCCGCTGCCACTGCCGCCGCCGACCATGTGGGCCATGTGAACGTTATTCTGCGCATCCTGGCGCATCTTGGAGATCTTGAGATAGTTGTACGTGGCAATGGCAGCCAGGGTGACGAGCAGTCCCATGACGTTGATGAGGGTCATGGTGTCGCCAAAGACGATGGCGGCGGCCGAGATGGTGACTGCCTCCTTAAAGATGCCGGCAATCGACAAGGTGACGACCGAGGTGCGCTTCAGCAGAGCGAACTCGGACGCGGTCATCAAAAAGGCAATGGTACCCGGGAAAAGGATGAGAAGCGGGGCGACGAGCATACCGTGCTCGTCGGCGATGATCTTCAGGCCGGCGAACAAAGCCGAGAACCCCTCGGCGGGAATGGCGATGGCGACCAGGCTGACGAACATGACGGGAGCCAGGAAGAAGATGCTGGAGAACGGGTTGGACGTGGCCGGGTTGCGGAGAAGCAGGATCTGCGTCAAACCCCAGCGGAAGCCGGAGAAGAAGGAGGCGGAGATGACGAGGAGGAAGCCGCCTAGCTTGAACTCGACCTCGCCTGCGACCATCATCACGACGCCGAAGGTCATGGTTGCGATGATGGCTATTAGGCGCCAGGTGGGTGATTCGAGGCGGAAGAGGAAGGCGAAGATGAGGACGAAGGCTAGCGAGGAGGATTTACACATGGCTGCGGAGAGTGGTTAGCAACGATTACTGTCATAGCACGAAGGGTACATGGGCTCAAATAGAGCAACTTACTGTAAAAGGTGAGGGTGATAAACTGTAACGAGGTATTGCCCAGCCCGATATCGAGGCCAGTCGCCATTCCGCAGGGACCAATCCTGGTAAGGTAGAACCACTTGGTCATGACGGGCCGTTCCGGATCATGCCTCGACTGGCCCAGATCCGACTTGTGTTTATTTGTTGGTCGCAGCGAGGGAAAGAAGAACAAAACCACGGATGCCAAAGAGAACTGCACGAGCATGTGTGTGGCGGTCGTAAATAATGGGAATCGAAAATTAAGCTTCTTTGGGTCGAACATCCACTTGTTATACTGGTGATAGTTAGTCATGGTTAGCGTGTTAGCGTCTGTCCGTTCAAAAAATAAAAAATAAAAAAATAAAGCAGAAAAGGACGAGTGTTTTGCTTACCAAGGAGATGCTTAACGAGAAGAAGTACCAAAGAAGAATCAGTGTCATGTTAATGAGAGCATTCTTCAGCACCGCCCTGTCCGCCTCCAGCTTCTCTGCCTCCGATATCCTGTCCCTCGCTATCCTCTGGTCCAGCCGGGTGTTGCGAGTCCTCTTGCGGCTTTTCCTCCGTCTGTCTGCGCCTGTCAAGCCGGCCTCTTCATCGATATGGAGGTCCTCGTCCGTCAAATCGTCATCGCTGAGTCCTTCATGGCGTCCCGCAACTTCCTGCACCCTTGTATCGTCCCCAACCAACTTGGACTCGTCCGAGTCAATTCCCTTCCCTGCCGATGATCGTGGGCGGGGAGACCGGTGTCTGCTGCTGGATGATGCCCCTACGGGATTCATAAGACTGCTTCTCCGGCGTCGGTGGCCGCCCCCTGCTCCGCTGATGGGAGCCATTTCGATATCGTAGGGGTCCGAGTTCTGGTCTGTCGTTGCGTATGTGTGTTTACCAGCGTTATCGTTCCCACATGTCGCTAGGTCGAATTGCTGATTACTTTTAAGGGTCGAGGTTGTAGTTGTAATACCCAGGACCGCGGGGACGGAGACGGTGTCAACGGTAGCGTGTGGGTCTTGTTCTCCGCTGATGTCGAGATTGTAGGACCCTGTACCTGTGCGTCGTGCAGACACTGTGGGTGTCGCTTGTCCACTTGTGTCCGCGGTGCCGATGCCGCTTGTGAAGGCTGAGGATGTTCCTGGAAGGGCGAGTGGGGTGTTATCGGCGGTTGGTGATGGGGATGATGAGGAGGAGGCAGAGGGTGTGTCTTCTGAAGAAGGGGTCGTCGGTGACGTTCCTTTTCTGGTGGGAGGAGACATTGGATGATATATCAACAAGATGGACGGAGATGGACGGGCGCCAAAAGTCACTTTGGCTTCATAATTAGGGGCAGGGGATTTCAATTGGCTCTCAGGTACACGGTGCGACTAGACGTTTGAGAAGTTGGAGCGGTCCCTTGCTAGCCTCCGTAGCATATCGAGATGGACTGAGACTCTGCGACGTTCTCGAGTTGGCGACTTGGCGAGGCCAGATGAGCGGTGGAGTGGTGGAAGATCGCGAGTATCATTGGCTTTGCACCCCAGTTTCCATATTAGAAAGGGTGTCCAAGAGGGCCAAGAGGGTGCCCTTTAGGTAAAAGTTAGGTGGTGAAATCCAGTTTCCATTCCGCTTCGATTTCAGAAATTCAGTCAGCTGCCGGACGCCCCTGCATCAGCGTCGGGTGAGCAGTCGTTAGCTGTTAGGTTGTTAAGGTAAGCTGGCTCGTGCGTCTCCAACTTTAAGATCATCCACCACCTCTCACCGCCCGGTCGCGCTTGTCGAGTCTCGAATCTTTTTGATTCCGAAGCTGCATGTGAGATCGCCGCGCGCTGTGTCACTGTGGGTGGTGAGAATGCCGTGAGAATCGGCCTGCCGCGAACCGAGCCATTTGCCAAGCAAGCACATTGGTGGCAGCTGAGAGACACGATCGTGGGACTGTTCCATATTCTTCCTGGGGGCGGGGTTGGAGCATCGTCTGTACAGAATATTCAAAGTGCCCTGCCACAGGGAGCTTGGCTCGAGCTTCGTTGCCTGCCGTGCCTGCTCTTAGAGATTCATAGGACAGCGAAGATAACTGTTCTTCAAAACTATTATACAAGAAGGGGTTACATTTGAAATTATCTGTTACCAGAAATATCCTAACCTACTCCGTTTTGCAAAACAGAACTCCCATCAATGCTCTCTATCGTTAGCTTGACGGCCGTGTAGACCGTGTAAGTGGTTCTTTGGTGTGACGGTGTTTTCTGTGACTCGGTGTGCAGGTGCGCTGAAATTCCCCACTTTAAACCATCAAGCTGCAAGCTGGCAACCCCGGTCTCTCGAGATTCAAGTTATGATGTCGTTGACATCCACTCCCGGAACAGTCCGTCAGTGGCTTATACGATCCGAGCAACCGGCCGTCGGGGACCTTCAAAAAGAACTCACAACCTGCTTTCACGGACAGGGTCACTTCAAAGAAAGGATATTAAATAAATGTTGACAGAAAGCTAGCATCAAAACTGAGCTGATCAGTGACGGAGCCTCCCTCCTACAAATCCAAGTTGGTGGGAGTAAAGTCGGTTGGGCCGGGCAAGCTTCATTTGTTGTTGGTAGGGTGTAACTCCATGGAAACTGCATCATCGCTTCCGCGCTCCCTTCCAAATCGATCTTGGCATGCCATGATCACCCAACCTTGTGGGGAGCCGCAGCAAAATGCCGTCGACGAGATGTCCCAAAAGAGGCAAAGACACGAGGTCGTACCCTCAGAACTTGGAAGACGATGCTGAGTCAGGAAGGATGCTGGTCCCAAGTACGCACAAGCTATCGTGGATCGGGGCGCACAACCTACCTCGCCGTCTTCAGATGAAGAGAGCTCCCGCGGTGAGATGAAACATTTGAAAGATCTTTTTCCTTCTACCTACAGTAAGCTTCTTGTCTTTCCTGTTTACTACTAGACTCTAGATCGCCATAGAAACAACCCTACCTCAGACTGTACATCCTTTTACTTTACCCTCTGTCACCCGATCTGGATAACTTGCCTACTCAAGCCGACAGGTCCTTTGTTCCTTCCCTTCTCGTTCTTAGCTTTTACACCTCCAGAGTAAAGAATTTTCATTGCAGTGCTCATACCACTGAACACCTGAGCTTCGATCATAGCTGGGACCAGACATCCATCGGAACATCACTACGACCAAACACCCAGAACAGAGCTTCGGCCTAGAAGGCTTCTCTTTCATCATGTCAAACGCGGGTGCGACACAGAGCCCCGAGGCTCAAATGAGGAAACGCTGCGGCGGCTATCTTCCTATCGAGAACTATGGCCTGATTGGCAACATGAGAACATGCGCCCTCGTGGGCATGGACGGCAGTGTCGACTTTATGTGCTGGTAAGTCTCACATCCTTGGCTCACAGCTATGCTCTGCTACTGACATCTTCAAGGCCTGAGTTTGATTCACCTTCTGTCTTCTGCCGTTTGTTAGACAAGGACAAGGGAGGCTACTTTAGCATACACCCTGCAGCTCATCTCGAGTGCACAACCAAGCAGCAATATCTGCCCTCTTCCAACATCCTTCAGACCAGGTACATCCACGAGGATGGTGTCGTTGATCTTGTCGACTTCTTCCCCAGGCCCAGGACCACCAAGACTCTCTTCAAGGGACTGAAGACGAGTGCCTATCGTGAGATGACAAGCGTCCAGGAGGAGCTGAAGAAGTGGCTGGTCCGCCGTGTTGAATGTATCCGCGGAAAGTTTTCTTTGGGTAAGTTTTTACCTTCTCCCCTCGTTGGCACGGATCCCATGACTTACATGACAACAGATGTTGAGATCTTCCCTGCGTTTGAGTATGCCACAGCGCCGCATACCACCACGATTCTTCAGGAAGAGAACGTTTTCTTTGCCCCTCAGAGCAAGACTGTGACGTTTCACAGCGAGGAAGTCAAGCTCCAGCTTGATGTCAGTATTGATAGGGGAGAGGAAGAGGGCGAGAAGCATGACAGCTATCCCACCGTCCGCTTCAAGAAAGTGAAGAAGCCCGGTATGCTGGGTGAAGGCGTAGTCGCCAGCATCGAACTGTTGGAAGGCCAAGCAGTCTCGTTCGTTCTTCGCAACGACCTTTCCAATCACGTCACGGAGCAGATCACCAACGCCGTTCTGGACACTCAGCAGCACGATACCCAGACTTTCTGGTACAACTGGATCTCAAAATGCAAGTACAAGGGCCGTTGGCGCGAGGTTGTCCAGAGGAGCTTCATGATCCTGAAGCTCATGACATATGAACCGACTGGAGCCATTATCGCTGCTCCCACATTTTCTATTCCCGAAGACATTGGTGGTGTCCGCAACTGGGA